CTACTAGTAGCGATGCCCTTGTTACTAGTAGCGATGCCCTTGTTACTAGCAGCGATGGCCTTGTTACTAGTAGTAGCGATGACCATGTCAACTTTGTACCACTAGTAGCGATGCCCTTGTTACCAGTAGTAGCAATGCCCTTGTCAACTTGTTACTACTAGTAGCGATGTCCTTGTTACCAGTAGTAGCGATGCCCGTGTTACTAGTAGCAATGTCCCTGTTACTAGTAGCGATGCCTTTGTCACTAGTAACGATGCCCCGATCAAATATATAGTTTCCAAAACTCAACAGCATGTCCAACTCCTTCTACACAGCTCAGAGGCCTTGTTGCTGCTGGAGCAGATGCCCCGAAAGTCTTTGGAGCTGAATGTGGTCATCCGGAACGTGCAGATCTCGGCCTACGTGAGCTGCAGCCAATGGGAGCTTTGGTCGCAGGTGGATGGGAGAGTTCCACAGCCAGTGGGTCTTCCATGGCGAGGCGCTCAAATTCCTTTTGTTTCCCGTCCTGTTTTTTGGAGCAAGACACATACTGTTACTGCCACCGTAAGAAGTGCAAGCCCGAGGCTTGCCAGAAATTGGATTTGCAGCCGTTTATTTGCGTCTTTGGAACAGTGCATCAAGCAATTGCTAGGTACAAAGCACTGTGTCTTGTTTCCACTCTGTGCACATTGGTAGATTGCCAACCGACCTTCGGTCCACAAAGAAGGCTGGGTCTTTGTGCTCGTGCTAGGGCAAAATGGACCCAGAAAGGGATTGCTCTTTCAAGATGAATTATGAATACTTACGTCCCCAGCTCCATCGTATGCAATTGCAGTTGCTTTGTTATGTAACAGGAAGTGCAACAGAGCTAAACCGCACCACACCACCAGGCGCCAGGCTGTTTGTTCGCCACTCATCCACGAAACAACCTGACAGTGAAAACAAATTGTGCCTTTCGGAGCATGATCAGAAGATTGAAGCCCCCAAATGATAAAATTGCTTTGTACCCTCCCAGACTCCTAGACTAGAATGGTTAGCAACTTCCCAGTAGAGGGAAGCAATTTTTTTGTCAATTTGGGCTAGTCAAATCTGCACTAAGGAAGCGGCGCTCGATGTCTTCGAGAATTTGTGCAGCTGGCACCTAGAGAGGACGTTGGATGGCAGAGCTACTAGGTACGACCATCAAGAAACAAAACATCGTTGCCAAAAGGTTTGCCGGCCATTTGGACAAGAATCGTATACCCAGACACTGTTCTAACTTAAGAACCGATTTCTGACACAGTACTGTATCCATTCTTCAAACTCCGATCCCGGTTTCTTCACCAGGAATGTGGTCAGCTATGGTGCTGCACTCTCTGCCTATGAGAAGGGCCAGAAATGGGAAATGGCCCTGGAGCTCCTTGAGGATCTCCACTTGAGCCGAATACAAGGTCCAACAAACTGACATGAAAACGTTGAACAGCCATGATAAGCTCTTCCAGAGTCTCAGATAGAAAAGTCTGCATGGCTTCTTCCCTTCGGCCTCATATCTGGGAGCCATACCCAATTATCCCAAATGCTTTTCCATCACAGCCCTTTTGCACAAGCGCCATGCTTCGGCGCTTCTGCGGCTTGAAACTGCGGCCAGGCAACCTTGTAACCGCTTGCGCTGCTATCAGTGCTTGTGAAACAGGGGCTGCTTGGATCGCTGCGCTCAGCCTGCTGGAAGAGGTTCTTTCGCAGTTGCAGGCGACGGAAGACGGAGGTTGTCGTGCTTGGGATGTTACAATGCCAAGGTATTGTCCCATGGATTTGCATATGAGCAATGATCAAAGCAAACTTGGCGAAAAGGACGCGCGTTCAGCAGGACTTTCGTTGTGCCGTCGATTCTGTTCTGTGGAACAAGGCCGATGTCATCAGCTTCAGCGCCGCCATGAGTGCCTGTGAAAAGTCCAGTCAATGGGAGCGGGCCATGCGGCTCTTAGCGCTTCTTCGGGAACATGCAGTCCAGGAAACGGTGCTTTGGATGTGAAGGAAATCCTTTTGGGCATGTCTCAACAAAGACAATGACTACTGAGACAGAGAACATGTAATTAGAGGCTCTAGAGGAAGACCTTTTTGGTTCGGGGTCCCTCATCTTTGCAAGCCTTGCTGGCATATCCATGTTGTGACAAGATGGCAAAATTCACGGGGCTATCGCCAGACGAAGCAGATCATCCCGTCCCATCATATAGAGTCTGCCAATCTCTGCCATGTTTCTGGTACTGGTGAGGTCATTACGTGCAATTCCGTCATCAGTGCCTGTGAAAAAGCTGGGCGTTGGCAAATGGCTTGGGCTTTCCTTGAGGCAACTTGTCCAAAGTCAGAAGGTTCTTGCGGCCTGAGCCTCCAGCTACACAAAGGCTTCAACCAGGGCTGCAGATTTGCAAGGATCAAATCCTCGCCCCTTTGACAAGCAGATGTAGGAGAATGGAAGGCAGAAGAGACCCCATCTCGGGCATCGAAACCGCGAGGAGCTGCACATGCGTCAGATCCGTGCCACCATCGTGACGTTTAGTGCAGCCATCAGTGCCTGCGAGAAAGGCGCCATGTGAATCTTGAGATTGAATCTGTGAAAGGACACCATGACATGTCACGGCATTTTTAAGATAGGACATGATAGGATACATCCAAAGTCCTCCTGGGGGAACGAGAGGACTGCCTTGCAGTGCTATCCCTTGTTCACAGGGATGGGCAACAAAATTGCCGCTTGAGACACCAAACCAACTCTGCCGGGGCGGGTCGACCTTGGGCGCGAAGAAACACGTCGTCCAGGTGGTCAATGGCACCAAGCCATGCAGGCCTTGGGGCAGCTGAGTTCCCTCGAGGTGCGAAGAACATGAGAGGATCATTGCAAGAAGAATGTATCAAAGACATGTAACCAATTGTAAACAAAGCAACATGACATACCCCAAAGCAACTCATGTACTTGTAACAATCTCTTTTTGCGAAGTCCTTTTTGGAAGGCGCAAAGTAGGATCGACGTCTATCTCCCAGTTATTTTTGCATGTTGAAGCCCTACAACCTATACCACTACGACTCACCCAGAATGCAGTGAACTATACCTGAAGGACCTGAAGGAAGAACTTCCAGTCCTGCACCCAACCCTTTGTGACCCCCAGAAAGCCATTGGGCCATTTGCTTAGAACATAAACCGCTGTTCGGTTCCTGTTCGGTTCCAGGGCACCTCATGTCCAGGGGTCGCTCCTGGTGCCTTCCAACGCGGCCATCCGCAGTGGTGCCAGGCACCGGGCCTGGCAGAGCACTTGCACACTGCTCCACGGATGCCCGGAGTCGACCAAAGAATTTACTTCTCCGCTCCTGTTGAAGGAAGGAGGTAGGAAGTCGGGGTAGGAAGGAGGTAGGTGGTCAATTGTGTGGGAAGAACTGAGAAGTGCTGAAGAGGGGCCCAAGGTCCTTAAAGGTGAAGAGCTCCAAAATGGACAGCTTCTGGAATTAGGCCAAGATTCTGTTGCTTTTGAGTTGCTGGCTTCTTCTCCTTTAGCGGTGTGAGAAGCGAGCAGTTTCCACAAGTGAGAGAGCTGGAACCAAACATGTTGCCTCCTAATTCTCTGCACTTTACAACATGGCACAGACCCAGAAGGGCTCTCCCCAAGGACTTCAAGAAAGCTCGGAGGCCAACGTGATCACATACAGCTCCGCGATTGCTGCTGGGCCTCCTTGGTTCCTAGCTCTACACTGCCTTGCTGCATGTCAAGTGCCTGGGCATGTCATGCTTGCAGGGTGCTGTGTTCTCATGACCAGACGGCAGTAGCCGGCTTTTGTGCATGACTAGCTTGATGAACACAGGGTACTTCTGAACACTTTTTCTGATGCTACACGCATCCAAATTTCTTGAACCGCATCGATATCCCTACTTCTGGATTTGGGGAACCACATCAGTTCTGCTCGCTTTGCCTGAAGACTGACATTTTAAGCTTGCATTCGAAGATCCCAAGCCGAAAGAAGCCGATCGGAAAGAGGTGCAACAGTTGCAGCCAAGCCTGGAAGTGTACAACTGTGCTATGGCGCTGGAGGGAGGCGCGCAAAAGTTCTTGACCTGCTTGGAGGAGACGCAGCTTCCCAGGAACCAACTTCAGCCACACAGGCAGCCAGTAGGCAAGGTTTTGCAGAACCTGGCAGACCCCCGAAAGATCGGGAGTCAAGAGATGAAACCGGGTTGGGGCCTTTCCCGTGCACATGTGTTGGGGCCTTTCCCAAACGAACGCAGGAGCTCCACCTTCAAGGTGATCTTGTGACTTATTGCGCCTCTGCTGAGGGCCTGGGCCTGGAGGTGTGGGAAAAAAGTCAAGCTGACCATTTGCCTGAGAATTTGTTTAGAGACAGGGTTCATGTCATAAGGTCTTTTTGTCCTTAAGGAGCACGTGTCAACGCGAGATAAATTGTGCATGAACTTGTACCTGCGAATAGTGCTCATCCAACCGCTTTTCTGCTAAGCGTGACCATTTATATCATATCCATTTACGTAAAATTTACAGTATTTGCATTCACATGAAGGACAAATAGATTCACACCAGCTTATTGGCTGAGCGCTTAGGCAAGGCCATTCAGCAGGGCGTTCACGACTGTTGGGGCCATTTGAGGACCCGCACACTACGAACGTTCAGGCCAGTGGCGGAACACCAGGAATGGGAAACAATTCAAAGCTAAGTTCGGTGATGAACCAACTCTTGGCATGAACGTCTCCTGCTATGCAGAACTCCCCCTGAAGACCCGCGATGCTGAAGCTTTTTTTTGCGGACAAGCAACATCCAGAACGTATCATAAAGTCTTGGCCAGGAACCGAAACAGAAGCTTCCGCAATTTGGTTTATGATGTTGCATGTTTGCATGCTTTCAAATTTCGCGAGCTGCCAGCTTTGGAATTGTGACTTGTGATATTCCAGAAACGATTTGCTGGACGGGAGAAACACCAATGCGAGCCGCTGGGCTCAAAACAAGCACCACTGCCGCCCATCGTGAGGCAGACTGCGCCTGCCCGCAGTATGCGGCAGATCGCTGCGCCCAAAACAGGGCCACCTGCACGGGCGTCTTTCCGGGGCGCGAGTCGTGGATGTACCGTGGATGCTGGGCTTTGGGTGTCTGGTTTGGAATACATACGCATCTGGGAGGTTCAATTTGGGCCTGCATGCTCTTGCAGCCTCCTTTTTGGCCCCCAGGACAATGTGGAAGGCGGTGTTAATCCACTCATCCATTTTGTTCAGAAAATGCGCTGAAGCTAAGCAATGGAGGGCTTAGCTTGCAATGTGGCAAGCAGCCTTGGAAGATCTCAGACACTTTGCTGGATTAGATGCCAAAGACGGCAAAAAGAGCCCCAAGTAGCCGACCCAAACAATCTTTAGCTGCAGTTGCCATTGCTGCCATGGTCTACACACTTGGTTGTAGGTAGAGCAGGTAGATTGAACATGAAAGGCAATGGACAGTGGAGCTTTCATGTGAACAAGACGCAGGTTGTCTTACCAATTTCCGCCCTTTTGGAGCGCCGGTGGACCTCTGGTGACCCCGGACTCCGGTGGAGCCGAGGTCTGCGCGCTGCGCGCGCTGACCTGGTGGACTTTACGAAGGTGCCACCGGTCTGAGAGAGGTGGCACTTCCTCCGAACATCCTTTGATTGGGCCTTCGATGTTTCAGGGAATGACGTACTAGTAGTAACAAGAAGCTACTAGGGGCTCCTGGCATCGCTACTAGTAACAAGTGCCTTACTTCTAGTAACAAGAAGCTATTAGAAACAAGTGCCTTACTAGTAGTAACAAGAGGTCATAGGGAGGACCAGGGACTCCGATGTCTGAAGGTCCGGTTCCTTCTTTTTGTGCTTCTCTTCTTGTACTCTTTTTTTCGGGCTTTCGGGGATTAGGAGTGTCGGCATGGCGATGTGACAGCGTGGACTTGATTTTGAAGGTCCAATGGCCCAGGTGTAGGGGACTGTGAGTGGGAAGGTGTGCCCGGCGAAGATACCTCTATCCAAATCCAAGTGCTTCAGACCTGCGGAGTGGCCACCTTCATGTGCAAGTATCAGTATAAGTGAACATATCAGATACAGCCTGTAGGCTATAGCAGTATATATATATATACACACACACATAGTTTTAAAGGATTACAATTCAACCCTCAGGTTGCTGCCAGCTGCCAGTGGCCTTGGGCTTTACAACTCTGCCGGGAGACGAAGAGACGTGGCCTTCGGCAAGATGTGGTGGGACACCCAAAGTGTGGGAGCAAAGCGATACCAGGATCTTGATGGCTTTACAGCATGATCTTTGTGCAAACAATGTCTTCACAGTCGGTTTGCAACTAGCAGTCTTCTTTTCCAAGTCACACTCACAGTCGTTTGTGTTTTTGCTTTCCGTTCCCCAACCCCGCTGCTTCATAAGAGAACTTTTTACTTGAACATCTTCTCTCCCTTTCTCTCACTAGCTGATTCTCTCTTTCCATCACCCTGTCTTCTAGCTGAGCTTCTCAGAACAGAGTCCACTCCTCACCTCAATCCAACAAACTTTCAAACAATAGAGTACTCTCAACCAACGAAATCCGGTTGCACTAACGCCGATTTCCCAAATGCCCCCCTCAACCAAGCAAGTTGTCTTTACACCTCCATTGCCGGGTTGGGTGCCCACCTGGAAAATCTCCCTCGTGCCTCGGCCTCTCTTGCTTTGACACTCGACATGTCAAGGTGTTCTGGGGTGCCATTGCCCGCTCCAGCTGGATCTTGTCTGTGCAGATCCTGGGGTCGGTCGCGGCGACTTGGATCGCGCTCAGGGTGGACATGCTCCGGTCGGCTAGAGTTTTTAGAAAGAGGGTCAGTGATGCCGAAAGGCATGCCACTATAAGGGGCAGATCCATCCAGATTATATATATATATATTTGTGAGGCACGAGTTTGAAATAGCGAATATCGTTGATCGAATCTCTCAAGCGAGAGCTCCCATGGGTGGGCCCCGTTTCCTCGCGGCCCATGTGCTGGTGATTGGCCACTGTGTTGGAGTGGCCATACTGGCTTTTGAGGTGTGGGAGAACCACCAGCTGCGAGAAGAGATCCGCTCGGTTGCGTTGGAGTTGGAGGCCCACCTTGGTCGAGGTATTCAAGTGCTTCCTGAGGGCCAACCTGCACCCTCGCCTGAACCCAGTGGAATCCCCTCGGATTGGTCCAAAGAACCGGAGATCCAACCGAGGGTCTGGGCTTCAGGCAGTTGGGAATCTACAGAGTTGAGCCAGCTTGGATTGGGCCTGATCATTCTTTTGTTGGCCTTGATTGTTGTGGGTTTGTTGGTTGCAAAGCAAGTTCCGGTTGGGGATTCAGCATTGGTTGCAAGCCCCCCGTCGAACAAGCGTGACTTGGCAGCCCGCCAGTTGGCTGAATTGAGATTGAGGAGGCATGGCTTTGGCCAATAGGTATGCATTGGTTGAGTACAATGTTGGTGGCCCACGTCTCTGGCACGAACGATGGGTCACCGAGCATGTCGAAGGCGACCAATACATTGTTGTGACCCCAGATCGCGATGTGTATCTGGAGGAATTGGGCCTGCTCAATGACGACATCCGGACCATCCGCCTACGGCCTGCGATGGGCATCTTGCCCGCTGGAATAGTGGCTGGAGAAGTGTACCCCCTACCTGCATGGGGGGCCAACGATCTTGCTGCCCTGCGTGATGAGGCCCGTCGAGCTGCCGAGGTTGAGAGACGTCGGATTGCGGTTGTCCCTCCTGCTCCTGTTGCGGGAGCTGGACCCCCGGCCGCTGCTGGCGCGGGTGTTGTTGTTGATAGCATTGATGAGAAGGCTGGCTATACCTCGGGTGCATTGAAGTGGCTGTTTGCAGAAAGTTCATTTGGTTGCAAATTTGGCCAGGTGGCTTTGACGAAGGGTGCAAAAGCAGTTCATGTTTTTGCGGATGGGAATTCAGTGTTCATTGAGTGTGTGGACGGAGCTGACTACTTTAGGTTTTTGCAAGGTCCGGCCCGATGTGATCACAGGGTCCTTCCGCTTGAGTTGAATACAATGGACATGCCCGAGGTCACCTTGAAGGAGGTTGCAGCCCGCAGTCATGAGGTCCCGATGAGGTGGCAGTTGACTGGTCCGCGTACGGCCAGATGGTGTGTGAACTATTTGGCCATAGAGAATTTCGGCTTTGAGGGCCACCACGAACGCCTGCGGCAAGTCACCCGTGCTGATGCCTCGAGTTGGGGGATACAGGAGCACTTCCAGACAAGCATGTCATTGAGGACAGCATTGTTGATTGACCAAGTTGACCCCTACAACTTGTTGAGCATTGAGGTACAGTTCAGGCGTTTGCAAACGATAGAGTTCTCATACAGTGAGAAGGCCAAAGAGGTCGAGGCCAAGGCGGTGGGAGGGCGGTTGAGCCTTGAAGAGCAAACAACCTTCGGGGGTGTGACTCGCCAATACTCCACCCTCATGATATGCCCAGACCCACGTCAAGACCGAGACGGAGAAGGAGGCCAGCTTGGCGAAGAACCTCCGCAAGGCACGGGAGGAGAGGGAGGCTGCCCGGCGGGGGAAGAAAGGTGGAGGGAAGGACGGAGAACCCCTGACCTCAGGGGTGCGTGGCTCCCTAGGCCCGGGGAGTCGGGCGGCACCAGTCGGGCCATTGCACGAAAGGCATACCCAGAGAGACATCTATCCCATGCCACCTATGCCGAATTCAGAAATCCCTGCTGGTCGTTTTTCGAGGAAATGTCGAAGGAGGATTGGACAGAGGAGGCATTTTGAGGAGGAGGTGAATCACAGCATTGACTCACTGAACCTTTTGTTTGGAGCATCTGGCAAACATCCACAGCACAGTTGGGGGGCAGAACGCATGGTCCCCAATGCCGCACAGTGCCAGGTGTTGGAATTTGTGAAGAATGCGCGTCGAAGGGTAGGCAAGCCGCCTGCCACTTCGGGCTCAGAGGCCCTTGAGGAGCTTCGAGTCGCCGAGGGTTATGAGGACTTGCTGACCTCATCACCCTTAGGATCCTTCAACCCTGACCTGGTCTCATTGCCGACGGCGGAGATGAATCCTATACCGCTGTCACATCTTTGGGGCCCCGGCGGTCGACAAGAGGTGGAGGATTTCTCACACACTCAAACATTGAGCGCAACAGAGGCCGAGCAGGACTGCTTGACAGTGGAGTGGAGAAATGCTATGAGGACCCTCAATTTCGTGATCCCCACAGGTATGCAGAGTTCGTCAAAAGGTTGATTTCGTTGAAACTTGTTGATGGGTTTAGAAAGGAGGAAAGCTGCGAATGATTTTGGACTGCCGGCGAAGCGATTGTCATTTTGCAGACCCCAAGCCGATCAAGCTGGCGACTGGGGAGGCGATGGCAAGAATAGTGCTGCAGCCCAATCAGCAGCTGTATACCGCTAGTGCAGACTTGCAGAACGCCTTTTACACCATGGAGATGCCTTGGCAGCTGAGGCCCTATTTGGGTTTGAGGAGGATTAGGGCTGGAGACTTGGGCATCTCGGAGGTGCATGGGGAGGCGGTGAAGGCAGATCAATGGCTCCATCCTACGGTGGCTGTCATCCCCATGGGGTGGTCGCATGCAATGTGGTGGTGCCAGAGGATCAGTGAGAGGATCTGCACAGGGGCGGGGCTGACAGATGCAGAGCGGCTTCGAGATGGTGAGAAGGCCCCTTCCGGTAACTTCTTTCACATACAGTATGTTGACAACTTGCATGTGTTTGGCACTGACAAACAACAGGTCGAACAGCGATTCTGGAAAGCGGTGCGGGCACTACGGCAGGTTGGACTCACAGTTCATGAGATAGAGTTTGACGAATCAGACATGTCGGTTCTGGGCTGGTCAATAGCTAGCAATGCGGTCTTGTCCCCTACCTTGAAGAGGCTTTGGAGATTGAGGCTGGGCGTTCGAGAGCTGATAAGACGAGGCTCGGCTACGGGCCAGCAGCTGGAGCGCATTGTGGGACACATCACCTTTGTCTCACTATGTCGGCAAGAGAGCCTTGCAGCATTGGGGGAGGTGTACACCTTCATCCAGAGGCATTACCAGCAACGGGTGCCGCTGTGGAAAAGTGTGAGGCGAGAGTTGCGGCTATGGGATGGCATTGCACCCCTCATCTTTGTTGACATGGCCAAACCCTGGGAGAGCACTCTTTATTTGGTTGATGCATCCAACTGGGGAATGGGAGTGGTCACTAGCAGCTGTTCAGCAGATGAAGCCCAAGCTTTAGGTAGGCACTGTGAGCGTTGGCGTTTCAA